GAAGGAGAGGGGGGGGGAAAAGAAGGGAAGAGAGGATTTTGGCTGAGAGGGACCTGCAAAGATCACCCAGCCCAACGCAGGGCTGACCAAAAGCTGAAGTGCGTGATTAAGGGCATCGTCCAAACGCCTCTTAACGACGGAGAGGCCTGGGGCATCGAGCAGCCTCTCCAGGAAGCCTGCCCCCAGTTGGACACCCCTCCCCGCGGTAAAGAAATGCTTCCTCATGCCCAGTCTGAACCTCCCTTGGCACAGCTCCGAACCATCCCCACGCGTCCTGTCCTTGGATCCGAGGGAGAAGAGCTCAGCACCTCCCTCTCCACATCCCCGCAGGGAGCCCCGAGGTCACCCCTTGGTCTTCTTTTCTCCAACCACGACAAACCCAGCGTTCTCAGCCGCTCCTCACAGGACGCCCCCTCACCAGCTTGGCTTCCCTCCTCTGGATGCGTTCAAAGACCTTCGTGTCCTTCTTAAATGGTTTTAACGAGCCCAGAATTGCAGGCAGGGTTCAAGGTGAGGCTGCACCAATGCTGCCCAGAGCGGGACGATCCCCTCATGTGGGGTTTGGCGCACCCCAGGGTGGGGTTTGCCCTCAGCGCCGGCTCCTGCTGCCAACCAGCACCCCCCGATCCCTTCCTGCAGGGCTGCTCTCCACCCACTCCTCTCCCAGTTTCTACTTGTGCCCAGTGTTACGCCCTCCTAGGTGCAGAATCCGGCCATTTGGACTTGTGGAATTCCATCTGTAATCGCCGCCCAACGCTCCAATCTACCTAAATCCCTCCTCCGTGAGGCAACTTCTCCCTCAAGAGAGAGTCAACGGCCCCTCCCAGTTTGGTGGCATCAGCAAAGTTGCTAACGACACATTCAATTCCTTCATCCAGATCGTTGATGGGTATAACAGAACCAGCCTAAGGAGGGGGGATGGGCACTGAGCCCCCCTCCCCAGCAGCGTGGGGACCCCGCCCTCGCTTACCCTGTGGACGTTGATAGAGGGGAACATGTTCTGGAACATGCTGGCCATCAATTTGACCTGGATCTGCTGGAGCCCGAAATTGCTGAGGACCAGCAGCGGGTGATGGGTGAACTGCTGCTCGTGCATGCGGTGCCGCTTGAGGGACGAGACCACGTCCTTGATCAGCGAGTACTGGAGAAGGGGGGGGCGGAAAGCACACACATGAGGATGAGGAGGGGGTGAGATGCTGCCCTTCGCACCGGCGGGGAAAGGGGGGCTCCCGCCAGCACCCACCTGCATCACCTTGAACGTCAGCGTTGGGCCACCCGGCAGCCGAAAAAGCTTCTGTGGAGGGGGAAGAGGAGCGGTGCTCAGCGCCAGCGGTGCCGCTGGCAGGATTGTCCCCCCACCCCAAAACTCAGCGCAGACACATCAGTGCGTTTACTTTGGATAGAATCACGGCATAAACTCAAGAGGATTTTGTCATCATCTGCGTCTGCAAGGGGGTAGAAATCCCCCCTGCCCCCCAAAAGGCACCCGCACCCTGTGCGAGGTGGCGAGGGGGAGCACGGCCGCTGCGGAAGGGCCCCCCCCAAACCCCAGGAGCAGCCCCCGAGGCCGCAGGGGATCGCGCTACTCACAAAATTGATGCTGGAGGAGGGTTTGCTGAAGACCAAGAAATGCGTCACCCCCAGGGGCCCGGCCACGGCCACAAAATCCTTCAGGGAATTGTTCTTCCGCACCTGCGGCACAGAGCGGCCGAGCCCTTGAGATTCCCCCCCGCGCCAAACCGCCTCCCGGGCTCCGCTTTATCCTGGGGAGGGGGCAGGATCTGGCCAATCCCCCCCACCCGTGGGCAGAGGAGGAGCCCCCCCCGAGCTCACCTTGAGGGCCCTGGCGGTGTAGGGCTCCATCACCTTCCGCACGTCGGGGATGAGCT